GACCAGCTCTGCCAGCTCCTGCCCTGCCCCTGCCTTCGCGGACCCGAAGCGCGCGAGGGTCCGGCTCCGGGCTGGGCTCCGGCGGAAGCACGTGTTGTGGCTGTTGGACCTTCTGTCCAGACCACGTGGATTTTCTCCGTATCAGCAATATGCCTCTTTCCCTTTGTCGTTCCTGCCTTCGCAGGCGTGGTCCTTTAATTCCCTTCGAGAACTTTTCCCTGTATCCCCCACCTTGGCTAACGGGTGCAAAAGGGCAGTTTCTGGCCCATTTTGGCGTTTGACGTACCTTCCTCACTAAGCTTAATCTTTTCTAGATTTGATTTAAAGTGAGACACGGGTGACTCTTCCCTTTCGTGTGGACACTTCGAGGCCCCTGTTGGGGTATTAAGTGGCCTAATTTGAACCCTGGTGTGTCTTGGGGGAGAGAGGTTGGGGCGGCCGGCGGCGGGCGGGAGGGGCAGTGGGAACATACCCAGCTTTTCTTAGCAAGTTCACCGTCTCCCACAGGTGCTGTTCCTGGGGCCCCTAGACAGCGACAGTAGTAACATCGCAGGTCACTAATCTCCATAACAAATAGGAGAAAACTGCTGGAAATACTGAGAAAATTATGAGACTGTGGCACAGAGACACACAGCGGGGAGTGCTGTTGGAGCAGTGCAGCCTGGAGACGTGCGGGACCCGGCCGCCTTGGACCTTCCCTTTATAAGAAATGCAGTTGGGGGAGGATGGGGTCTGCCTCTGCTTTTCCTTCCTGGCTCTCTTCATATGGCACAGTTAGAGGTTCACTCCCTTGCTTGCCCCTGGGAGCTCCCTACAGGCAGGGGACCAGCACACACGGTCTGTTCCCCGTGGGCCCACAGCCTTTCTGGCGGGAAGACCTCAGAACGCAGTGTGTGAACCACCAATGTGCACCAGGGAGACCCCTCCCCACATCCCAAGTCCTTTCTCCTGAAACAGACACCCCCCCTTCTGGGGGCAGCTGCTCTGGGGAGGTAGTGGGCTCTTGGAGACGGTTGTCCACAGAAACAGCATCAAAACCGTGGGTTTTGCTGTTCAAGCAATGCAGAGATATTGACTGTAATGAGTCCTGGGGCTGGCATGTAGGCCACATGGGCCACGCTGGGGGCTACCCGGAGTGGTTAGATTGAGGGGCTCTGGCACAGACGGTCCATGGGCTCCTCAAGGGCAGACCGCTGCCCTGGACTGAGCCCGGGAGCTGGCAGGAGTGGACCCACCACCTGTTGTCGAAAGCCACAAATTCTGTCTTGGGGGCATGTCCATATTAAGCCCCTGAGGCAGTCTCCACTCATCTTTTTATAACCCTGTGAGGTTGGTGTTCTTGCCCACATTGTACAGAAGGGGAAACTGAGGCTCATGGAGAGGCCATCTGCCCAATGTTGCACACACCCAGAGAGAGGCGGGAAGCATAAGTCCCTTGAGATACTGACAAAGGCCTGGAGCGACAAGTGCTATTTTGGGAGCCAACGAATTAGCATCCTCTCCTTCGAGAACCCCTGTGGCTGCCTCCCAGAGCCCAGGCTCTGCTCTCTCTGACCCCTGCTGCCTGGGTGCCAGCCTGTCTGCTCCTTTGCCACTCTGGCCTCCCGTGGGTTCAGCTCCTCTCCACAGCCCGGCACCTGTCCTGGTGTCTCAAACAGCCGCTCTTCCTCCTCCGCTTTCTGAGGCAGGTTTCCCCACAGCTTTACCTCGGAGCCCTCTTTCTCCTGCTGTACCCCCTCGGGCCAGCCCGTCAGCCCCCTGGCCTCTGGAGTCTGCATGCCCTGCTCAGAGCCCTCCCAGCGGGTCTGGACCCACTGCCGCTGCTGGCTGCCGCTGGGTGTCCTTCCCGGAATGCAGCTCCTGCTCTCAGACATTCAGTGGCTCCCAGGGTCGGTCAGAGAAGCAGACTCTTCTCAGGAGGCACTTTTCTCACAGTTCAGAGCCTCCCCCCACCCTGGCCCTGTGCTCTCCGCCTCGGTTCTGCCGTCGCTGCAGCACGAGCCCCCTTCCCCTCGGCCCAAGACGGCGGCATCGCTTCTGGTGCACGGCTGGTGCACGGCGCATGCCTTCCTCTGCAAGGTTCTTCCTGCCCTCCCCACCCAGTCACGTTCGTTAGAGGATGGCGGGTTTAAATATCGCAGTGGAGAAAAGAGTCTGCTTCTAGGTGTCCAGAAGTAACTCAGTGTTCCCAAGAAAGGATGTGGGAGCGGGGGCGGGGGGCGGCTGGGGAGGGGCAGGCCCTCACAAGGAGCCAGTGTAGACGCAGGCACACCGGCTGGGTCTGCCGGCTGGCGCTGATGGCGATTCCACCCTCTCACAGATGCTGGAGATGGAGGCCCCAGCTTCAGGTATTGGGTGGAACAGACAGTAACAAGTCGCCGCAGCCCTGAGTTACTCACGAGGGCACTTCTGGGGGTGGGGGTGGGGGTGGGGGCGGCGGGGTGATCTCAGGGATGCGGCCTGAGCTGCTGGAAATCACGTCAGTGTTCGAGCCTTTAGAGACTAAGGTTGGGCCTAGTTAAGAAGAGCCTAGGTAGATTTCACAAAGGAGAGATCTCTGCCAGCTGCTTTAACTTAGACGAAAGCAGAAAGACAAAAAGTACACCAGCGTCTGGAGCCGGCCAGGGCCTTCTCACACTCAGGAAGCAGACACTACTACTATTATCCCCATGAAAATTCCAGGAATTTAAGGCTCAGAAAGGCTAGTCACCTCCCCAAGGTCACACAGCCAGAAGTAACCCTGTGGGGATGTGAACCCACGTCTCATGGTTTCCAAGTTCATTGCCCTATTCTGCATCTGGAGGCTCTGGCCACCCTGGATGGCTGTCATGCCGGTGTCCCTGATCTGGAGCACTGAAGCTGGTGGGCACGGGCGCTGGGCAGCGGCTCTCAGCCCTGGCTGTTCCTGGAGTCACTGGAAGCTTTGCAAACACGGACGCTTCTGCGACACCCCAGAAGGGCATGGGTCTGCAGTGCAGCCCAGACCCAGGGACCCCTAGAAGCACTGGGTCGGAGACCCACAGTGCCGCAAGCCTGTGCTGTTACATCCCATCTGATGTCAGAGAGAAGCCGGAGAGGTGGGCGGCAGGTGGCCGTGACCATGTCCTGCGGACGAGCTCAGATGAAAGCTCAGTGGCTTCTGATGGCAGCTACGGAAATTTGCTTCCTGACCTGCAGCTAGACCTAGAGCTCTTTTCTAGAGCAGCCTGATGGACGGGGAGAATAGCGTCTCCCCAACCAGAAGAACTTTGCTTGAATTTTGCTTGGATGTTCAAAGTCACATCACTCTCCTGTAGACCTGGAAGAGGGCATGGAGCCTGCCTCAGCCACAGGACCCCAAACAAGACCAGGGGATCCTAGAAGAGAGTGGTGGCTTCCCCTCCCTGACAGTATCTAAGGCTGGGCTGGAGTGGGGAGCCTGCAGTTTACTGATAACACTCCTAGGCCCGTTTCTGCTGCGGGGCAGGGCAGGCCACAGTCCAGGTGGCTGGGAGACCTGTGACTGCAGCCTCCCAGGCAAGGCCCAGCTCCAGTGCCAACCCCCACTCTCAAGTGCACATCGCTGGGCCCTCCAGCCGGGTCCAACTTAGTGGTTCTGAAGGTTTCCCCCCAGCAGGACAGGAGGGGCCGCTGCCCACTCTTGGGAGACCTGGACACGTGTCTACTCACCCCTGAAGTGTGTCACTGCCCACACGCGCCCGACATCACTGCTTACCTGTGGGGGACTGGGGGGAGTCCCACGTGTGAGCGGGGAGGCCCTGGTCCACAGCTGGGGCAGGCAGAGCACCACAGAGCGAATCTGGAAGGGCTTACGCTCCTGCCAGCCTTGAAGATGCCCGGCGGGGCGGGGGCCAGCAGCAGCAGGTTCCCCGGAACCAGGGTCCCGCCATGGCCGCGGACCCCCGCCCACCCTCAGCCCCTCAAGGGTGCAGCTCTGCGCTGCAGGCCTCCCCACGCCCGCTGGCCGTGACAGCACAGAGGGCGGCCACACCCCTCGGGCGCGGCCTGGCGCCAGTGCGGAGCGCAGGACTCAGCTGGCCCAGTCCCACCCCTCGGAGCAGGGTTTCCGCCCGCGCGACCCCTCGAGCCGAGCCGACTTGTCCTCAGGCCAGGGGAACCCGGGGACCCACGGAAGGGCAAGGCGGCAGTTCCTGGGCGGCGGGACGGTCGTTGGAGGGCGCCACCCGCGCCGAAGCCCCCTTCCCAGCACCCCCGACATGGCCCGGGGCGGAGGTCAGAGCTGGAGTTCGGGGGAGTCTGACGGGCAGCAGGAGGAGCGCGCCGCAGAGGAGACGGGGTGAGCCGGCGGGGTCGCATCAGGCCCCGCGTCAGGGGCGGGGAGCGGGGGGCGGGGACAGAGGGCCAGGTGAGTCGGCCATCGGGGTCCCGGGTCGGGGGCCAGGCAAGTCGGGGTTTGGGGTCTGCAGCCAGGCGCGTCGCCGTCGCGGGTCTGGGGTCGGGGGTCCGGGGTCTAGGGCTCTCGGGGTTGGGGGTCCGCAGCCAGGCGCGTCGCCGTCGCGGGTCGGGAGTCCAGGGTGTCTGGGTGGGGCTCTGAGGGTCGGGGTCCGGGGTCAGGGTCTGGGAGTCGGGGGTCCGCAGCCAGGCGAGCCGGCCGTCGGGGTCCGGGGTGGGGGGTCCGGTGTCGGGGGTCGGGGTCCGCAGCCAGGCGAGCCGACCGTCGGGGTCGGGGGTCGGGGGTCGGGGTCCGGGGTAGGGGGTCGGGGTCTGGGGGGCAGGGGTCCGCAGCCAGGCGCGTCGCCGTCGGGGGTCCGGGGTCCCGGGTCCGGGGTCGGGCGTTCCTGTGCCCGCCGCGCCCCCGCCGCCCCGCCCGCCGCCAGCCCGCGCGCCGCCGGAACCTCCGCGAAGGTTCTGGGCCTTTGTGGCGTCACCGTCTCCTCGCGGAACCTTCCGCCGGCGCCGAATAAAACCCGCGGCGGAGGAGCCGGAGGCCGAGTGCGGCGACCCCGGCGGCGGGCGGCGGGAGCCCAGGGCGGCGGGAGCCGGAGCCGGAGCCGCAGCGGGACGCGCGGGCGGGCGGCGGGAGGTCCGGGGGGCGCTGACCGGCCTCGCCCGCCCCGCCCGCCCGCAGGGACAAGATGGTGAAGGAGACCCAGTACTATGACATCCTGGGGGTGAAGCCCAGCGCGTCCCCGGAGGAGATCAAGAAGGCCTACCGGAAGCTGGCGCTCAAGTTCCACCCGGACAAGAACCCGGATGAGGGCGAGAAGGTGCGGGGGTCGGGGGCCTGGGGTCAGGGCGGGGGGTGGGGCTGATGGCGGGGGTCGCGGGCCTGGGGTCAGGGGCCTGGCGGCGGGGCTGGGGTCGCGGGTTTGGGGGCAGGCTGCGGGGGTTGGGAGACTCTGGTCGGGCAGTGGAGGGGCCCCGGTGGGGGGAATGGGGTTGAGGGAACGGGGTGTGGGGGCAGGTGGCAGGGCTGGGGTTGAGGGGCTGGTGCGGAGGGCAGGCAGCGGGCGTTGGGGGCCTGGGGTTGGGAGACTGAGGTTGGGGGCAGGCGGTGGGGGTCAGGGGGCTGGGGTCGCTGGCCCTGCAGTGGGGCTGGGGTTGCTAGGTTGGGGACAGGCAGTGGGAGTTGGGAGACTGGGGTCAGGGCCAGTGGAGGAACTGGGGCTGGGGACTAGAGTTGGGGGCTGGGGTCAGGGGCAGTCAGTGGGGCTGGGGTTGAGGATTGGGGTGGGGGCAGGTAGCGGGGGTTGGGAGACTAAGGTCCATCCTGCTGGGATGGGGCTGGGGTCAGGGGACTGGGGTTGAGGGGCTGGGGTCCTGGGCTGGCAGCAGGACTGTGGTTGGGGCACTGGGGTTGGATTCAGGTTCAGGACAGGTGGTGGGGGTCGGGGCAGGCGACGGGGTTGTGGCTGTTGTGGGCACTGGGGTGAGAGGGCAGATGGCGGGGGTGGGGGTGGGGGTTGGGGCTGCAACAAGCACTGGGAGCCCTGGAGCCCCCCACTCCTCCGTTGCCAGGGCAAGCCAGCATGCCACTCAATGTGTCCAGCTCCCCGGGGGAGTCTGGTTGGCACAGCCGCAGAGGGCAGCCCTGTAGGAGGGGCCGCTGGCATCCCAGGAAACGGAGGCAACACCAGAAGTTGTGCACTTGCCGGAGCCGGTGGGTGGAATGGTTTGTGTTTCTTCCTTGTTGGTGCATCAGCACCGGGAACCCGGTGGATTTGGTCTGTCTCCCACCTGGTCAAGGTCACGAGACACTGAATAATCTCATTTGTTAAGCAGGGACGGGAGATTTCTACCCTGACACATCACTTTACAGGAATAGTCCAGGTTTTTTGTGACGAATGACCCAGAGTCAATCCTAAGGACCCGCAGCAGGCGGGAATGCTGTGCGTGGTGGGGACCGGAATGAATTCCCTGTTTGGGAACAGCCGCCCTGCTCTGTCCCAGGAGGCCCGTTACCCACTGAGCAGGTGACTGGCAGGACCACCTGCTGGTTCTTGGGAAGGCTGCTTAGGGGTCCCTGTTCCTCATTCCACAGTTTGCTGCTTTCTTAGGAAAAACTGTGGTCTCAGGTGGCGTGGGGGAGGGTCTCCTGCGGTAGGGACAGCAGTGACCCCCAGCTGGCGGCCGAAGCCACTGATCAAGCATCCAGAGGCGGGAGCCCTGGGACGCCGCCCGTGTGTGCCCGTTCCCATGCCGGCGGCTGGCGGCGGAGCTGGGAGGTTATATTTAGGCACATGTGCCGAGTGTGGCTGTCCCAAGTTTACCGTGCTTCCCGCAAGACTGTTGCTGCTCACTCGCGTTCTCGTCTATATTTAGAGATCACTGTGGCTGTTTGAGGGCCTGGCTTCGTCCGTCGTGTGGGGAGTCACAGACGTGCTCGTGGCCTCACTGGAACCTGTCGGGGAGAGCCTCCTCTCGGGGGTGGGCGGGGGGAGCGGATCCAGGCTTCTCAGCGGACAGCTCGGAAGCTGGCTTTGGTCAGGGCTCGGAGCAGCGTCCAGGAGCGTGCTCAAGGCTGTGTGTGCGCCCTTGGAGCAAGGCTGCTCGAAAACTTTCACTTGACCTCCACGACGTTCCCAGGGGGGCTGCCTGTGCGTCCCTCTTTCAGTAGACCGTCTGGTTTGCTCCAAGCTGGTACTTACTCAGAGCCAGGCACCGAACCGGTGTCCCATGTGAGGCTTCTGCTGGCGGGCCTAGGGCGTGGGGGTCCTGTGATGTCCCCACCGCTCATGAACCTTCAGTTCTGTGGTCCCAGCAGGCTGAGCCCTGCCCTGAGCCCCTGGCCTCGTCCTCCTCCTGTCCTGGTGATAATTCTTGTCTGATTCCTGCAGCCACCCCGCCCCCCGGCCCCCACACCCGCTCCCTGGCCTGCTATCCCGTGCAGGGGCTGAAAGGTGGTTGGGCTGGTGGAGGGAATCAGCACACCCCGTACAGACACGGTCTGGGACGGCAGTTGCCGTGGAAGTGGGGTTGGAGATCAGAGGGGGTGAGGTTCCCTGAGGGGAACCTCCTCGTTCATTCACAGATCCCTGTTTTTGTCCTGCTGTGTGCTGGGCCCGCGGTGTAGACGTAGACGTTGTCTTTCTCATGCAAGTCTGTGTGTGGGTCCTGTCCACCTCTGTGTGGGAAGAACCAGTAGAACCTTTGTTGTTCCTCCTGAGTTTGTCACTGTATTATTCATGTCTCTTCAAAAATAGATTAAGCCGGTCCTTTCACCCCGTGGGGGGGCGAGTGAGCCAGCCAGCGGGGATGGAGGGGGTGGCCTTTGTTTTGTGCCCTGTTGTCCTGTGTTGCTAAGCATCGGGCAGCCGTGCTGGCCACCGGCCCCTCCTGGGGTGTGTGGGGCCCGCTGTGGCGGCTTGTCCGTGGGGCGCTCGGCCCCCCTTCGCAGGGCAGGGCTCTCCCCTTCCACACCTGGAGAGGAATTCGGACCTTTGGCCAATTTCACTGTAGCTTTTCATTGGAATAATAGATTTTCAAGTTAAAAAAATCACACAAGAGGGGCGCCTGGGTGGCTCAGTGGGTTAAGCCTCTGCTTTTGGTTTAGGTCATGATCTCAGGGTCCTGGTGTCGAGCCTACATCAGGCTCTCCGCTCACCGGGGAGCCTGCTTCCCCCTGCCTCTCCGCCTGCTTGTGATCTCTCTTCTTCTGTCAGATAAATAAATAAATAAGTAAAATATTAAAGTCACATAAGAGCGTAGCAGTACGAGAAGCACGAGCACGTAGAGGAGAGCCCGCCACACACGGCACCCTGCCTCCGTTCCCGAGCCGCTGCGCACGCGGCCTCCCGCGGGGTGATGGTGGTTTGCTCGCCAGCTCACGTCACAGACACGCTTCCAACTTGTGACGTCATCCCGAAGTCCCGTTTGTCTCGTCGCGCGGTGATCTCAGTCCCGCGACATGACCACAGTCGGGAGAGGTGAGCTGGTGAGAGCCCTGAGGTCCAGCTGAGGGGGTGGGACGACCGGAGCAGGGGGCTGGAGCCGCAGGGGTGTGGCGGGCCTGCTCGGGGTTGTGGGTGCCCGCACCCTGCCGGAGATGCGGCCTGTTGTTAACTGCCCAAGGGACAGGGCATTTCCGCTTCTTAGGTTGGTCATTGGGTGACTTTCAGGTGTTGGGGGGACTTGGGAGTGGTCCTTGTGGAAGTCCTCGGGCAGCGTATTCATCTGGTCCCTGCCGTGCGGCCGGGTCCTGAAGGTCGGGGCTCCTGCACCCCACGCTGCAGTCTTCCTGTCGTGGAGGGGGTAGGGGCGAGGGAGGCCTGCTGCTTTGCAGAAACAGAGAGAAACAAGGGAGCACAAGACGTGGCTGCCTTGAGAGCGAGCCTGACGTCCCTCGAGGACTGGGTCTGTTAAATTAGCTCGTTATTCGTTAGTTGGTGCTTATTGTCGGTTAATTAGAGTGGATCTCGCTCAGCGATCTGAGGAAACCCAGCTTCTCTATTTACTTCCATGTTCGGTTGCTTCTAGCACGTTCTCTTCGCTGGCTATGCAGCCGGCCGTGCTGTAGGCTGTTGACAGGGACCCCGTCTGACAGACTGGAGAGGACTCTGGAGGGCACCCTACGTCCCGTACTCATTTCTGAACTCCTGGCCTCAGGCCATTCATCAAACACGCAGACGTGGCTCTGGGTGCTGGGTCTGGCAGTGGACGTGGCTGAGCGTGTGCCCTGTGCGCTCGGACTGGCCGCTGCGGTGGGGGGCGGGGAGCTGTAGGGAGCGCAAGGCAGCGGCTGGCCGGGTGGCCCAGAGCGAGGCCTGGCTTGGACTCTAGGGCCACAGGCTGCCTCGAAGAGCTGGGGCAGTGGGCTGGGTGCCGGCCCGCTCTGGGTGCCGTGGGCTACACCAAGGCCAGCACGCGGAGGACAGGTGCAGGCCACTGAGGAGCTCCGGCGCGGCCCCGGGTACAAGTGGTGGCCTCTGCGGCGTGGGCGTGCACCGTGGTGAGGACAGAGCGCAGATATTTCATAGTGTTCTAATTTTATTTTAAAAACATCCATGTCCCCTCTGCCCTTTGATTAAAAAAAAAAAACAAACCTATGTACCCAGAGGAGCGTGGGGCAGTGAGCGCTGACCCCCCTCCCACCCCCACAAACGTGTAGCGGCGCCTGCTTCACCTCCGGCCCTGATGCTCCCGCGCGGCTCCGGACGCACGGCCTGTGCGCACCAGCCTCGCCGGAGAACTCGGACCCTGAGGAAAGACTCGCCTTTCTGCAGTCACTCCGGGGCCACTGGTAGTTACACCCCCCCACACCCCGATCTGCGGTCACACGTGGCACTTGGTTTGCTGGTCTGTCTTGCTGAGTGTCTTTCAGTCTGGGTTTTCTGATACTTTTGTTTACAGCCGGATCCCTGTGACACCCTGGGGGCAGGAGCGCGGTGTCTTAGGGACTGGAGCCGAGCGTTTGCTGCCAGATGAGGTGTGAGGGGAGGGGAAGCACGGTTTTGGCGCTGGCGGTACCTGAGATGGGGGGACCGGGCCGGGCCCGGAGGACGGGTTCACATAGCAGCTCGCGCGACAGGTACCCCCGAGGTGTCTGCCGCTGCGTCCTTGTGCGGATGAACTAGCGCATGGGGGGCCAGGGAGGCCGGCGGCCGCAGCCGGGAGCTGGGCCCTTGCTGGGCACTGGGTTACACCCAGCCTGACCTCATTGTCTTTGGCTTCAAGCCGCGTGCAGGCGAGGCTGGGAGGAGCGACCGCTCCCCGGAGGCCCCATGGCTCCCCGCTCCTGAGCAGCCGGGTTCCAGAGGGAGCGCGGCCTGCTGGGGAGCGCGACTGTGTGCAGAACACCTCCGTCAGCGCCTCAGAGTCGTGGTCTGCCTAATGACTCACACCTTCTCTCTCTCTCTCTCTTCTACTTTAAAGTTCAAGCTCATATCCCAGGCTTATGAAGTGCTTTCAGACCCAAAGAAGAGAGACATTTATGACCAGGGCGGTGAGCAGGCCATCAAGGAAGGAGGCTCGGGCAGCCCCAGCTTCTCTTCGCCCATGGACATCTTCGACATGTTCTTCGGGGGCGGGGGACGGATGGCTCGAGAGAGGAGAGGTGAGTGCCTTTTGAGGACACTAACCAAGTTTCATAGTCTTCACATGCTACCGGTCATGGGAATCAGGGCAGGTCATGCCTTAAAAGGGATTATTAGCCTTAAATAGCTCCCCCCCACCCGCCCCGCGTCCAGACTGCCCTGAGCCTCTTGGCACCTGGACACGTGCCCGACACCTGCGGACACTACCCAACAGGGAGCCCGTGGGTGTGAGTGGGGAGGGGGAAGGACGTTCCTTTTGCTGTCTGCGTCTCGCTCATGGGGGTCAGGCCATAGGGTGTCCTACAGGACATCACAGCACCTCCTGTCCCTGCCCCCCGACCTGGTCCGTGCGCTCTCTTTCCGGCCGACACTCTGGGCTGTCTCACTTTGTCAGGCTGCTCAGGCCCCGCCTCCCTGCAGGTGCGCAGGTGTGAACAGGTCTGTAAGAGCCTGCCTGCCTCGCGCTCTGCTGTGTCGTGGTTCACGGCTTCATCCCCAGGAGGTGAACGAGAGCCCCAGGCTGCTGTGCTGTGGGCTGTGGTTTTCTACCTCTTCCCTCCTGCCCGGCCACACGCTGCCGCCACTGGCCGTTAGCCATGGTCCCCAGTTGCCCCTTTCCCTGTCCAGTCGACTGCGGATACTCTGCTTTTAGTCCAGACAGCCTAGCTTCCTGAGATCCTGGGTAAAATGGGGAATGAGCTCCGCCTGGGGTTTATAAAGGGTGGGTTGCCGCAGGAAGAGGCCCTGGAGGGATAAGGCCGTATCTGTTTCACGTTACAATAGACTTTGAGCTTCAGAAGCTTGGCCACCTGCTCTCGAACACGGGGTGCTTAGAGTCCCGAGTCCTCAGGAAGAGCCCTGGCGCCATGTCGGGGCTGCTGGCTCGTGTACTTGACAACAGACACGATGGAAAGTGCGGACCCCTCCTGCCTGGCGCTCTCCCTGTCTCGTGGTGAATAGCTCCCGTGTCCGTGTTGCCGGCCAGTGAACAGGGACAGTGCATCTCCACGACCGAGGGAGCTCCAAGGGAGCCCCTGGGAGCCGTGGGCCGTCCGACCCTGGCCTGGCCCTGGGCGGACAGACTCCCTCCCCAAAGACGTGGAGCCCGCAGATAAGAGTTCAGCAGAGGAGAGAGTTCCCACTTGGCCGCAGGTTACAGAAGGGCTCAAATGGAAAGAGCAGACGGCCCGGGGAGGAGTTTCAGTTAAAGGTGTGCAGACGGCGTTCACGCCCTCCTCAGGGAGGGGAGGAAGGGCTCCTTCTGTGGGGCACTGGCCTCAGGTTTGTTTTTAGGAAATAAAGATGGAAGGTCTTTTGGTCGGTGTCTGTAAACGATTGAGGGATTGGCTCTTAGCTAAAAAGGGTGTTCGTTCTCATGGCTGGCTGGGGTGGGGGGTGTGTGGCCGATGCACCCTGTCCCGCCGGAGGGGAGTGAGCTCCCCGCACGGCTCTGCAGCCGGAGCTCATGGTGGCTGCGTCTCCTGCCGTGGTACTCATTGCTCTGTTCCCACTCTCCCCGAAGGCAAGAACGTTGTCCATCAGCTGTCTGTAACTCTTGAAGATTTGTATAATGGAGTCACAAAGAAGTTGGCCCTCCAGAAAAACGTAATTTGTGAGAAATGTGAAGGTAAATGGGAATGTCTGAGTCCCACGGTTGTGATCCCTTAGACCTGGAAACCGTTCTGATTGTTCCATAATGTGGAGAAAAGTCATTTTTTTGTCTTTTCAAATCTAAGGGTCCAACAGACTGCAAACCGGTGGCCTAAGGGCCAGGTCTGTTTTATTGTGCCATGTATGTTCTTTATTCGGACTGACATTTATTTAACATGTAGATCATTATTTTAAACCTGTAAAAGTGCAGAGGGCTCACCCCACTTAGGGGTCAGCAAACCTGTCCTGTTACAGGGTTGGGCAGGAAGTGCTTCAGGTCCCCAGCAGCGTGGGCAGAAATGGGCAGAGCAGCCTGTGACCCAAGGACGCTGGCTGTGGTTTACAGCCCCTTGACTCACACGTAAATTTAATGAACACAATTTTTAAAAACTAGGATTTTTTAAAAAATATTTATTTATTTGACAGAGATCACAAGCAGGCAGAGAGGCAGGCAGAGAGAGAGGAGGAAGCAGGCTCCCTGCTGAGCAGAGAGCCCCGATGCGGGGCTCAATCCCAGGACCCTGAGAGCATGACCTGAGCTGAAGGCAGAGGCTTTAACCCACTGAGCCACCCAGGTGCCCTCGAAACTAGGATTTTTAAAGAAAAGTCGTCTTGGTAACCTCAGATGCACATGGTCTTGAGCTGGCCGAGTGGGGCTGCTGCCCTCTAGTCTCTCAGCCCAGCCCCCTTGGCCACCGGGAGGCCCAGCTCGTGAAACTCACGTAACGAACGTGGCCGTCTCGGCCAAAGCCGCGGATACTCACAGTCACGAGTTAACGTCTGGAACGTCTAGATGTTCCTTGCTGGGTTAGAATCCTCCAGACTATATACCGCCGACCAAGACTGTAGGCAGAGTTCCAACCCCGGTTCCCGTGGAAGGGCTGCTGACCGCCCTTGTTGGCAGGGGCATGGGCCGTGCGTGGAGGAGCCCGGCTCTCAGTCCCGCATCCCCTGCAGGCGTCGGCGGGAAGAAGGGGTCTGTGGAGAAGTGCCCCCTGTGCAAGGGCCGCGGCATGCAGATCCACATCCAGCAGATCGGGCCGGGCATGGTGCAGCAGATCCAGACCGTGTGCATCGAGTGCAAGGGCCAGGGTGAGCGCATCAGCCCCAAGGACCGCTGCGACAGCTGCAGTGGCTCCAAGGTGATCCGCGAGAAGAAGATTATCGAGGTGCACGTGGAGAAAGGTGAGGCCGCACAGCTAGGCGCTCCCCCAGCTCGGTGTGCTGCTGGTGGCTGACCGTGGGGCGCACAGGTCAGGCGTCTGGGACCTGGAGCGCAGCGCCACAGATGCTGGTCCCGCCGCCCCGCCCTCCTGGCTTCACTGTGGTGCCGGTCACCAGCCAGTCTGTATGCTGCAGCTGGCTTCTTCCAGGTCAAAACAACCCCTTTTGAAGGTTTTCCTGTGCTCTGAAAGGTGCTTGACCTTGAGTTTGGTTAACTACCCTCCCCTTCTCAAACCATTCCCTTGGAATCATTCTTGACTGTCTTGGCCTACTGCCGGCCAGAGGGCTCCTTCCTGCACCCGGTCGCCCCACTGCCCAGATGCTCCCAGGTGCGCCCCCCCCCCATCTCCGTGCGCCTGACACCGTCATTGTAAGGCCTTTCTCGTGGTTAGCTGCTCTCCAGGTACTTTCGCGTTATTCCGTGAGTTCCTAATCCGGTGAATATGAACTAATGAGAGATGAGACCAAAGTGTACAAATTAACACCAGGAGGGTGTTTTTCCAGGACTTCTGCTGAAGCACGTGCCTGTGCGTGCCCCCAGATCCAGGCCCCGGGGCACAGCAGGAAGTGGATGGTGACCCGGGTGCGCGGTGGTGGGTGTGCGGGGGGAGGTGTGGCGATCCCAGCCACTGCTCTGGTGCTCGTGCCCACGAGCTCAGGAGGTCTGATGACTCAAAGTCCCCAACGGGCTGTGTGCCATCTTCAGAGCTTTGTAGAGTGCATGGTTTTTAAGAGAAATGCTAATCAGAAAGGATGATGTCTCACAGGTATGAAAGATGGGCAAAAGATTCTGTTTCATGGAGAAGGAGACCAGGAGCCTGAGCTGGAGCCTGGCGATGTCATAATTGTGCTTGATCAGAAGGATCATAGTGTCTTTCAGAGGCGCGGCCACGACTTGATCATGAAAATGAAAATTCAGCTTTCTGAAGCCCTGTGTGGCTTCAAGAAGACGCTAAAAACGCTGGATGATCGAATCCTCATGATCACGTCCAAGTCGGGTAAGGTTTCAGAGGCGCGTCTCTGAGTGCTGGGTTGGGTGGGTGCGTCGGGGACACTGCTGGCCGCTAGCCCCGCTTCACCCCTGACGTTAGCACCACGTCCTTTGCTCTCAAGTTTAGAGTCACTGCTAATGATTGGAGAACTTTATGAGCTCTTTAAATATGCTCCTAGAAAGTATTCCAAGTCAGGGGGAGGGCCCCCAGCAGGAATCTTGGGGCCAAGCCCCATACCTCAAACTTTAAAAACTTAGTGTGGGAAGCAGATGGCGGTGGACTGTCCTGCATGCGCCCCTCCAGCTTCCGTGCTGTGGGCACATGGGAGACACCGTCCGGTCCAGTTTTCCTGAGAAAACCTTGCCCGTCAGCTTGGCCTCGGCTGCTCACACGCACAGGCCGGGGGGCAGCACCGAGGACTGCCAGTGTCCTCCAGGGCACGTGCACCCAGCACACACGAAGCCGCCTCTGGCAACATGGAGGCCGCTCGTCTGTGTCAGAGTGCGTCTGGGTGGGGGTGGTGCTGGCTGACACTCTGGCCACGAGTGGAGCTTCTCTGGTCCCCTTGCCACACCCACACCCTCCCCGCCAGGGTCAGGGAGTAGTTTGCAGTGGGCCTCTGTTGGGGCTGGGTGGGTCGTGACCTGCCTGTCCCTGCGTGGCGGTGGCCGGTGCTGGGTGCGCAGATCATAGAGGGGCCCGGCCTCCGTGTGCTTCCTTCCTTCCCACTGGCCTCGTTCGTTTTTTCTGCTGTTTCCTTCTGCACTGTTTTCTCCTTTTCTGTACGTAAAAGGATATGGATTCTATATCGAAGCCTCGATCAGAGTTTTTTCTTTTTTAAAAAAACTTTTTATTTGGAAACTTCAAACTCACAGAAAGTTGTAAAAATAAACAGTACCAAGGTCATCCCCTCCTGTCGACTGAAGCCCATTTGGGCACCGTGCTGTAAGGCAATGCCCGTGTGAAGCCGTAAGCCGCGACCCCTCCCAGGTCCCTAGTTCCTCCCTGCTTGAGGGGAGAAGGTCACAAGCAGGTGTGGCCCCAGGCCTGACTGTGGCACCGAGGGTGCGACAGGCCAGTGTCCGCAGGGAGTCGTGGGAAGCCTCACGGTCGCGGGGCTCCCGGCGTCCTACTGCTCACGGGCAGTACCCTGCTGGTGGCCTGGGGCAGAGGGGAGACCCTGTTCCTAGCGTGGTGACAGGAGGGGCCGGGGCTTGGGAGAACCTTCTGCCGGAGACCTCTCTTGTCCGTCTTGCTCACGGACGCTGCTCCGTGTCCTGTCCTCCCGCACCGTCTTGTAGCTGTGCCTTATTTCTCATCCCTTCGCTGCTGCTGTCTCCTCTTTCTGCTGTCAAGGCACAGAGACTCGGGAAGGGTGGGGAAGGCGCCCTGGCAGCTGACGGGGCGGGGGGGGGGGGGGGCGGTGGCTTCCGCAGGTGGCTTCCCGGCCCGGTCAGTCAGAGGCAGGAGCGTGAGGGGTAGGAGCGGAGACAGAACTTTCCAGCACACAGGACCACTGAAGGCCCCGCGCCCCCTGCATGCCCCCGGAGAAGGTCCTCGGTGCCTCCCCCTTGCCGAGTCCGCGGTGGGGAGCGGGCTGCCCGGCAATCAGCATTTGGCACCCCTCCCCCACTCCTCTGCAGGTTCACTCCCTTGTCTGTGTCGTCACTGCCGGGCTGAACAGCTTATCTCGAGGGAGACTCTTGGGCCCTTCCTTTCTGTTGGGGGAGACGGGATTTTCAGATGTGCAGCTCTGCAGTTCTGGGGCCCGAACCCTGTGGTGCCTTTTGAAAGTTGTCGCAGCAGACCCCAGTGTGGGCTGGACCGCCTCCAGCCCCGACCCCAGGGGTCTGGTTCCTGGTTCGCTTTTCTCACCCGTTCACCTTGCGCTGGAGGGGCTGGGCGCCACCCGGCGTGTCCCCACCCCCAGCCCGGGCAGGGCCTTCCCGCTCCTGACTGAGCCTTTTCTGTGGCAGGCGAGGTGATCCGGCACGGGGACCTGAGGTGTGTGCGCAACGAAGGGATGCCCGTCTACAAAGCGGCCCCGGAGAAGGGGATCCTGATCATCCAGTTCCTTGTAAGTTCCTGAGTGTGGCCGCCGCGGGCGGGGTCCGGGCGGGCCTCCGCGCCAGGGCCGCCGCCACCGCTCGCTCCTCGCCCCCGCAGGTCATCTTTCCCGAGAAACACTGGCTGCCTCAGGACAAGCTCCCCCAGCTGGAGGCCCTGCTGCCCCCACGGCAGAAGGTGAGGGTCACGGACGATATGGACCAGGTGGAGCTGAAGGAGTTCAGCCCCGGCGAGCAGAACTGGCGGCAGCAGCGGGAGGCCTACGAGGAGGACGACGACGGGCCGCGGGCGGGGGTGCAGTGCCAGACGGCGTGAGCGGCCGCGTGAGCGCCCTGAATGTAACGTTGGCACAATGAAAATGGCATCGCCTGACGGCCTCGCGTCTGGGGTGTCCTGTGTATGTGTTCACCTTCTCAGGTGCTGAGTGTCTTCTTGGTTTTTCCTTTGTTTTCCTTTGGTTGTCACTTAAGTTATAGCTTAATTTATATTGAAACGTTTCAAGTGTGACTCACTCCCAGTCTGCACACGGATCTGCTTATTCATGTTTTCAGGACACTTCTGAGATGCCAGGGACGGCACGGACACTTGCTCCTGGGGGCTCTGCCGTGTCCTGTCCGCCAGGGCAGCCCCCTGCAGGGCCCTGGGCAGTGCCCCAGGCGCGGCTTCCCTGCCCTGCCTCCAGGGCTGCTGCATCTAGATTCTAGACGAAGCACGTCTGTGGCCTGTGCTCAGCCCCGGGGCCTGGTTCACAGGGCAAGGGCTGCAGGGCCACCAGCCTTGCTGCTGCTCTGGGGCTGCAGTGGGTGTGTGATCATCTCGCTCGGAAATTTCTGGAAGCTTCCTGGTCTTGTGAGGACACACCAGGCTGACATAACTGTTTGCTGGGGCCCTGCACCTTGTTTGTGGTCATGAGGACTTCCTACCGGCAGTCTCTGCAGTGCTCTCCCACCTGAGTGCTTACCGTGAAGAAAAGGACACCCCCACACACCCCCGCAGCCTCGGCAGTGGCCACGGGAGCAGCAGCCCAGGCTGGGAAGGCACAGACGTCTGTCCGCACCCCCTCCCAGAGGTTGATCCTGGGGCTGCGTGGCCACGGGACACGGCTTCCTGCTCAGGCAGGGCTCTGCTGTGCATGGTGGCGTGGGCCGCCTGCCCCGACGACTGTCCTCACTGCTTCACTCCCAGCAGGCGGCCAGAGCTCACGTGGAGTTGCCGCAGCCCCAGCCATCACCGGTCCCTTCCCTCCCATGGCCGTTGGGGTCAGAAAATGCTTTAGATGTGGCTGGGTGAGGGCAGAAGCCGCTCGCTCACCAGACCGCCTGCCCCTGGTTCTGGAAAAGCAGAGTCTGACGCCAGGGGCCGCCGCAGGGGGTGGAGGGTCCATCAGGCCCACGCACTTGGGCTGAGCTGGCTCGTGTGGGGGGACCAGGCTCTAGCAGGACCAGGAGGGTGGGTGCCACTTGCTCAGAATGGTCCCTGCTTTGACCATCGATCAGGACAGACCTTAAAGCTACTCTTCCAACCAAGCCCATATGAAACTCGTCCACAAATGGACCGCAACTCCCTGGTCTTCCCCCACCAAGCGACTGCTGGGGGGTGGAACTACGTTCAGCTCCCGATCCCTGGTCGTGGGGAGGGGATCTGGAGGGTGTTGCCCAAAACTCACTCCCCCTGTACACCCATCACTGCAAAATTAAACCTGAGCTGGGATGAGAGACAAGTGGCTTTGGCTGTTTACGTTTTCGGGAGCTCCCCCATGGGTGTTACGGGCCAGCCTGCCTCGCACCAGCGCACGGGAGCTCGGACCCGAACTGGGGCGAGTGCCGACGCTAGGCGGGGGAAGCGTCCACGGCTGTGCTTACAGGAGGGCGGCCAAGGAGCAGGAGAGGGGCACAGGCTTCGTCCGGAGGGTGATGGGACTGGGGGACAAGCATGCAATCTCACAGGCATATGAAGTCATTAATAAGAAGCAATCATCTTCGGAGTGAGCCATTTTCACACAGGCCCCGCTGAAGGGGCACTGGCCTCTGGCGTGCCGGAGGCGGGGCTGGAGCCTGGGGACATCGCAGAGGCAGCAGGGTCCACCACAGGCCACAGCCCTCTGTGCAGCCGTCAGGTGCACAGTGTAGCAGGTGATGTGCTCGGGCTCTCAGTAGATGCCCAGACAGGCAGGACTCCAGAGCATCCCCAGCGGGGCAAACCCCTGTTCCCTTCAGGACCCCACTCTGAGACCAGCAGTGTGTGGGGCTCAACCCTCTGGAGAACAGGCCTGGGCTTCTTGGCTGGGAGGGCCGGTGAGCGCCGGATCCCGCCATCTCTGGGGCAGACCCCTCTCCCGCTCTCCCACCCACACCAGGGCAGCTGAAAAAGCCCGTTCACGAACACGGGGTTTGTGTTATGAACACTTTATGTTCGAGCACGAACAGCATTTCTAATAGAACGTGAAAAGATCTGTATCTACAAAATTTAGGTTTCTGCTCCAATAAATGCTAGAAAGGTAAGGAATGTCGTGATGTACACACCGGTCTGAGAGTGGCGTTTACACAGGGCAATCGTAGACATGGATTTCCTGGTCATCGCCCACGGACACAATTTTTGAGCCATTTCCGTTGTATTTTACTCCCCAGACCTGTAAATCAGAAATAAAAGTTCTAAAGCCTGTGTCCTTTTTAAAAAAATTTAAAAAAAATTTTTTTATTTATTTGACAGAGATCACAAGCAGGCAGAGAGGCAGGCAGGGGTGGGGGGTGAAGCGGGCTCCCTGCTGAGTAAAGAACCCAATACGGGGCTTGAGCCCAGGACCCCGGGATCAGGACCTGAGCTGAAGGCAGAGGCTTAACCCACTGAGCCCCCCAGGCGCCCTCTAATGCCGTTATTCTTTACGAACAAACGCGCTTGTGTACTCTCGCTAGACTGAATGGAGACGGACGGTTCTGGTGCTGAGCCAGCGGGAATGGGGCCTCCCCCGACACGGCACCGGCGTTGCTGCTGTTTATCACTCCCTCGCCTCCCGCACTCCTCCCGCACTCCATAAACGTTCAGAGTTTCAGGTTCTGGGGAGTCCCGACCTCATGCCATGAAGCGGGCATCTGCAAGGGACCAGCATGGGCTCTCATTCACGTCTCCAGAAAGAAGGCGGCCCACAACTACCCTGGGGCGTCCCCTCAGTCCTGTGCCCCGTCCCCAGCCCGGGATGATCTCTAAGGCCCTTGGAGCCTGCCAGGCCCCGGAGCTGAGCCAGCAACCAGCACGGGGCAGTGGTTTGACAAAGGTGATGTGGCTGGAGTTGGATCGGGTCAGCCTGTCACTCTGACCCCAAGTGGGGGTTCCAGCCCTGAGCCCAGTGTTGTCACTGGGTGGGCCGATGACCTCCCTTCTACCCCAGCAGCCCTTTTGAGACGACAGCACGCTCTGAGCCTCATGTGCAGGGAAACAAGCCCGCAGGGAGGCTTTACCCTCGCGGTGGACTATCAAGATGAACCCCCCAACTTCATCAGCAATGATTTCGGATCAGACGCGAGAGCACAGGAACAGCAACGTCCGCGTGAAGCTACGTTCCAAAGAGCCCATCAGGGCACCCGGCTGGCTCAGTCGGCAGAACGTGCGAACTTGATCTTGGGGTTGTGAGTTCAAGCCCCCCGTTACTTTAAAAAAAAAAAAAAGACAAAATGAAAAATAAAACCCCCAGGATCTTCATTAAAAATATTAGAAGCCAACTTTTTACTGCCATAGGCATTTTGTTCCCTAAAGTGACCAGTTTCCTGAGACTTGCTACTTGGGACCAGCAACAGGGGCCTCACTTGGCGCTGCTTAGAAATGTAGGAGCAGGCGCTGTGCGGACTCCTGCCTTTCCCTGGAGCCCTAGCTCCTTTCACATCCACGCTGGCAAAGACAAAAAGGTTGCGGGAGCACAGAGCCCCTTCCTTCTCATTTAAAGACTGAAACAAAAGTTACCAATGTTGCTTAAAGCGAAACAACCTATAAGAATTTATGGCTTTGGGTATGTTATAAAAAAAAAACATCACACCACTTCTGTGGACACCTCTAAGAATAACAAGTGCTGTGTGTGTGAGCAACGGGCACTTTAAAAAAAAATTATTTGAGAGAGAGGGCACATGCATGAGCAGAGAGGAGAGGGAGAAACAGACTCCCCGCTGAGCAGGGAGCCTGATGCAGGACTCGATCCCAGGACCCTGGGACCATGACCTGAGCCGAAGGCAGACTCCTAACCGACTGAGCCACCCAGGTGCCCCAGAGCACCAGGCACTTCTGAGGAAGGCCCTTCCTGAGCCAGCCACGGCAGGTGGCACCAGGAAGAGTGCTCCTGGCACACTCCGGGCACCCGCACTGGACGGCCATGCAGCTAGCGCTGTGTGTTCTGGCCCCCGAGGGGACATCACACCTCACAGCTCTCCAGGCCAAGGGCGCAGGCGGTGCACGCGGGACGCTGGCTATCGGATCACCCACGCAGGGAGAGCAGCCCAGCAGCAGGCCAGGAACGGGGATGGATGTCGGCGGCGGCACTCAGACAACCCCGGAACCAAAGATAAAGGAACGCGAATGTGAACTCTGCCGTACCTGATCCTGGTGGTCGAAGAAGGTGTGCACACACGTTCTCGTTCCAACGTCCCAAACTTTCACACTTTTGTCGGATGAACTATGTGCAGAAGGGGACATTGGTACCAAAACAGTTTGTATTCTGGTTTTAAGTTGGAAGGAATCTGACCAGAAACTCCACCCTCCTTCGCTCATCTACACTGTGCCCACCTGTGTGCCCCCTGGCCAGCAGGGGCCCCAGGGAGCTCTGGGTGCTGGCCTCTCTGGTGGCTTTTCCTACGCACGAAGCGGCCACGTCCCTCAAGTTCTCATCTGCCCGGTTCTTATCCCTGGGTTCCTATCAGGAGTCTCAGACACGTGAGCCTGTTTCCAGGTCGGTGGGGGCAGGGCTGGGAAAGCCGCCACTGAAGGCTACTTCTAAAGGAAGAGGCTTCTGTAGCTGTGTGACGCTAGAAGCTGGCCGTCCTCGGCCTGAGCGACACAGGCTCCAAAGGCACGACTTCTGCACACAGAGGTATGCAGTGTACGTGACTACTGGACCGCAGAGGTCCCTAAAGTCCCTACACGTGGAAGCCTAGATTTATAAGAAAACACTCAAAAGTTGAACTGTTCCCAAGAATCCATCTTTGTTCTGGCGAAAGACAATTAACTACCTGCATAACTTAAAAAAACCCCAACCACCGACAAAACCAACGCAGAAAACAAAGTCTACCTGAATAACAAAGGGCCAGACCGTTCAGATCTTAAGGCGATACATAAACGATGACTTTCACCTTCTTACCATGTAAGAAGCTGCTGAGAACCACACATACC